TCTTCTTCTTCTTGTGATAAAGATGGAGGTGACTGAGGAAAGGAAAGAGAGAGATTCTGGAGCAGGAGGAGGTGAAGGGCGGACCTTGATTGCAGGGTTGCCTGATGAAATAGCCATCGAGTGTCTGGTGAGAGTGCCTTACCAATTCCATTCCAACATCAAATCTGTGTGCCATGGTTGGCGAAACTTGATTTGCAGTCCCCTGTTTCATCGAGAAAGAATTAAATCAGGTGCGGCGGAGCGTCTCGTCTGCTTAATCCAGCCGCTCTCGAGTACCCCAGCACCGGATTCGACTCTGGGGCTGCGTCAGGGTGATGATGTTTGTGTCAGCAACGGTGACAAGAAAGCGAAGGAGGATGGTCGGCAAAATCAGCGGCAGGGCCAGTACGGCCTGAGCATCTACAACGCCACCAGGGACACCTGGCATCGGACGAGACCCAAAATGGGGGGAATCCCGATGTTCTGCCAGTGTTTGGCGCTTGAGTCTCGTGGGAAATTGATGCTTTTAGGGGGATGGGACCCGTCCACTCTCGAGCCTGTCCCTGATGTTTACATCCTGGATTTGGGTTCGGTTGGTGGCAGCTGGAGACGTGCGGCGCCTATGTCGGTTGCGCGCTCCTTCTTTGCTTGTGCTGTCGTCGGTTCCAAGGTGTACGTGGCGGGAGGGCACGATAATCAGAAGAACGCGCTACGGTTCGCTGAGGTGTACGACGTGGGGGAAAATCGGTGGAAGATGTTGCCCGATATGGCGGAAGAAAGAGACGAGTGTCAGGGGCTGTCCTGGGAAGGGGATTCCAGATTCTGGGTAGTAAGTGGGTATGGCACTGAAAGACAAGGGGAGTTCCGCTCTGATGCCGAGTGTTTCGATCCAGAAACTGGGTCTTGGTCCAGAGTTGATGGGGTCTGGCCATTTTCTAGAACCAGTCCCAGAGGCTGCACCACCGCAGTTGCCTCCGGAAAGCAGCCCCAGTGGTGGTGGTTTTTCGGGAGTGAACAAGAAGAGCAACAACAGAATACAGGAGTCAGGGGTCAAACATGGAAGGCAGTGAGCACAATTAAGCTTCCAAAAAGTCTAACTGGGACATCTCCGTTTGTGGCCAATCTTGCAAATGGAGCTGGAGATGACAGTCACCTGGTATTTATAACAAGCGGCAGTGTCAGCGGCGGCGGCGGCGGCAGTGGTGGATGCCAAGGCAAAATAGGATTCATAATGGAGAGGGATGAGAATGGCAATACCAACTGGAATCATATCCGTACTCCCATGGAGTTTTCTGGTTTTCCATTCTCAGCTTCTTCATTCCTTGTCTAAACTAATTAAAAGTTGCATTTTTGTATCTCCAGCCATATGAATCCAGAACTTCACGAGATGGTTTTTGTACTGCTACTCATCTGTTGACCAGTAGAGTTAAAGCAAACAACATAATAACATGGTAAAAGAACTAGTGGCAATGAAAACACCAACATTGAGAAGTGTGAAATGGAAGAATAATGGCGTTAATGATACAACATCAGCATCAAGAGAATTATATGAACAGATTGCAACAATTTCAAAGGAAAAAGAATCGTGAAAGTGTGTGATACTTCCTACTAGGTTTGGCCTGATCAGGGCTTCGTGAAGTTTTTCAAGTGTACAAGACAATGTAACAGAAGGTGTTCCCGGTCAAAGGAGTTAAAGTAGTTGCCAGTCATCCCCATCCGGCATCACGTCAAAGGAATCGTCCTCCTGAACCCCACCAGTGTCTGCCAAACCATCACTATGGCTAACTTGCTTTGACGATTTATGGGTTTGACTAACAGTGAACAAGGGAGCACCGTTTGATTCACTGGCTAGCTTGGACGCCCGTAGACAAAAATTGTCAAAATCATCTGCCAATTGAAGGTTGAATAATATGGAAAATAATTAGGCCTCTGGTAAATGGTCATGACGAAAAAAAAAAGAAAAAGAAAAAGAAAGAAAAGAAAAAATCTAATTTTTGTGTTGGGTAAACTGGCAAACCTTTGTCTCGGCAGTAAAATCCAATTGCCAGTGATGGGTCGATTGAACCCAGAGGAATGTACCTTATAGTGCTGGACCAGTAATGCAAAGACCAAAAGAAACATCAGGAACTGGCTAAGACACCCAAAAAAACCAAGAAATCAGTTTCAACAGGGAGCTCACTCGCAATGGTAAGATGACGTATCAGCCTCTAGATTATCCCTGCTGAGATTCACCACCTGACAACCAACAATCAACCAACAACAATAGGCATAAGTGCTACGCCATAGATTGACAAGTAATATCCATCAAAACTAAATGCGTCAACTCTTCTAGGTACATCAAATGATTCAAAACCATATACATTCATACAAATAGAGAGCTATGTAAAAAGTAGAATCAAGAAAAAGAACACAACCTTTAAAAACAAAGCGTTGCGAAGAAAGGAAATCTAAATCACATAGAGTTATAAAATTTTCCTTTTCTTCTTTCCATCTTTCCCCCTTTTGGGTTTAGCTTTATTATGGGTGGAAACACAGGTTGGGAGAGATACCATTGAGGTGCACCAAGGCAAGAATTAAGACAGAGGGTGGCAAAATGAATGACAACAATAGATCAATATAAAGAAGCCCTAAATAGAGCTAAACAGCTAAAAAGCATTCATGAATCGATAAAAATTAGTCTTTCATCACCTTAAGTAAAAAGGAAATTGTGATTGCTCCTCTCATTTATTGTTTTATGTTTAACTACCAGACAAAGATAAGCTCAATATAAATTGGAGATCCCTTTTTAAGCTGGAAATTATTTTGACCTCTGCCTAAATGATCATACATTAAGAGGATATCAGTCAGGTTAAAGTTATGAGAAAATACTACTAAGTCAATCAATAAAATTTATGCTTTACCGATTGAACATCATGAGGATCAAGATAGAACGCATTCTCATCTTGCACACCAACAATGTAAGTTGAGGCACCAGGTTTGCCACCCAAAATGCCAAGGCTCTGAGGAAAGGTGAATGTTGCTTGCAGTGATGGGATATACCTGTGAGGAGAGACAGAATTTCATCAGCATCAGAAATAATTCACCCAAATAACTGCAATTCTGAACAAAATGTATTAGTGAATCTGAAAGATCCTTTTAGCTACTACTTGATAGTATCTAACTCTAACAGAGACTTCCCCAGGAGACTCATTTCCTTGAAGCCCCAGAAAGCCTACCAGGTACCTTTCCTGCTGCATGCTAGAGAATGACACTTGATATAACTCCAAAAGTCTAGTTGAGGCAAGCAATATTAGACAGGCCAGAGCTACATTTTTCTATGGTACACAGAACTAGGCTATTCCAACCAACTCCTTAATTTAGAAATTTGAAGAAATGGATAAGACCTTACATTGTATCAGACATATACCCATTTCAAAACATAACTAACCTGGGATTTACTTTATCAAGTCCGAGAACAAGAGGAACCAAAAGAAGTATAGGCGTCCAATCAAATTGACCTCTTGAAAACTCAAAACAAAGTTTAGAAGCATCTTCAATGCAAAGAACTGGAGCTCCACCTCGTTCCCCATCTTCGTCACCAGAAACAACATAAACAGCCATTGGAAGTGACTGCTGATCAAGGTCTGCCCCTTCCCTCCTACAGCGAGAAAGAGCCTCCCATGATCGACACATAGCATATGGGCCAACCCATGAACCAGCAGCAAGGCCATATGCCTCTCCTGCTTGAAGAAGATTGTGAATGGAAAAGGCCATTGACTTAGAATCACCAAACTGGTGCAAGATCTTAATATATTGTTGGTCATATGGCTGCATAATTAAAGTTTCCGAGAAAAGAGAAAAAAACAATTACAGTTGGTTCTATCAGCTTTATTCCTTCTGTTAAAGGACAAAAGAAACCACATTAAATACAACTCACCATACCTTCTGTAAAGGTTTTTGCCAAGATCTCCCTAATTGATGAAAAAGCAAGGCCTGCATAGATTAGCACTCTTCTGTATTAACTAACTAAAATGAAATCACGGTAAAATAGCTAGCAGTTTTACCAATGCATAGACCCTTAAATATTATGCTTCTCATGGTGGGATGCTCAATATACCTGAGCAACAAGCATCTGGCTGCTACGGAGCATGCAACCCCAGCCAACATCACTGGTAAATTTTGTATCTCCAATAGCATCAAAACCTGCAAACAAAAAATTTAGAAATAGTATGATTTCAACACGGGCAGCAAAGAGAAAACCTGATGATACAAACCTTTACGATATGTCATCAATAATCTTGATGAAAAATCTTGTTTAAATGCATGTAACCCTGTGCCAGCATCTGCGTCTCCATAGGACTCATCTGACAAAATTTTATAGCACACACCTAAAAGCCATATGTCACTAGTTGAGCTAGAAATGCCAGTTTTGCCTGGCCCCCAAACACATTCATGAAGTTTCCTCATTGAACCAACAGCTACAACTCTCTTTACAGCTGCAGTCCACCCATTAGTTTTAGAATGAACCAACTTCTTTTCACCAGCTGATGACTCACTATATGTTTCAAACACTGAGAAAGCAGATGCAAAGAGACCTGACCACAAGGAACTCTTGCAGAACTTACTGTCTCTTGCTTCTGGTTCTGAACTGGAAGATTCCGTTGATCTACTTGTGGTATCAACAATAGTTTTAGAAGAGCATTTCAAATCACCATCCTTCTCACAAAACCCCTTCATTACCTAGTCATGCAGCAGCTAAAGAGACAGAATTGGCACGTAGACCAACCCAAGTTTTAACAACGTATCCCCAGTTTAGAGCTCAAAAACCTGAGGCATGGTATTAATAATTAAATGACTGCAAATAAAGAAATAACCCAAAAAGCACATTCATCATAAATTTCAGGGCATATATTTTACGTAAGACAATAAGAACAAACACCCAAAAGGATTTGGGAGACATGTTAAGCTAGTTTTAGGATAACATTTCGCCACCAACAAATAAAGCTGCTAAGTGGACTATAGGATTATCAACCAGATCACCACTCTTTAACAATACCATATAAAGGCCTTTGCTTTTACAATGGGTTTCACAAGAACAGCTGAAAATTCCCAATTCACCCACTTAAAACCTAATTGAGCTGATGAACACCGCTGGTCCCATCAAGTCCACCATAAATACAAAGAAAGCTCTAAACATCAAATAAACCTTAGAAATCAAACAAAAAAGTGATTGACTGAATGGGGGAAGGGTGTGATCTGCGAATTTACAGCAATTTCCCAGCTACCCAAAACCTCAAAACCAGAAAATGGAATCAAAACATCAAGAATTCATAGATTATCAAGACAGAGAAGGTATTCCCGGCAGGATAATTGGACGTATAAAGATCCAATACCCAACGGAGAGGAATCGGAAACTTGTATTTCAAGGTTGCATAAAAAGCTAAAGATGGAGAGACAATAGAAAGAGATGGATTACCTGAATGTATGAGTGATTGATACGGAAGAGAATTCCTGTGCGTTTGTGTGTGCGAGACATAAAACGATTAATCAAACATTTATAAGTATGGGAAATTCTGGTTATATTCTGACTCGAATTAATCATCATTATAATACTCGTATAATTTTAGGGAATTTTGCTTTTATATAATATATGTTTGGTTTGATGGGAGATAAATTGAAAGAAAAGGGACCGGTGGAAATTTACTTATTTACATAAGAGAAAAATAAAAAGAGAAGAGGAGTAAGGAAAAGGATTTTTTTCTTAATTTACTTTTTAGTTTTTCATTCATATTTCAGCTTAACAAGGTGAGAGAAGGGAAACAAAATGATTTTCTTTCCCTTCCTCTTCGTTCCCTTGGAACAAATACAGAGATTTTGTTTGGCAGTTTGTGTTATACTTATAAATTTTTTATAAGTTGTGTTAGTGTAAAAAATTATAGGTGAAGCATAGTTAAAGAAAATCTCTCTCTGTATTGTACTTAATTGTAAAATAAAAAATATTAAATAAATAACAACTATTAATAGTGTAAGGTAAGTTATGAAATTTTTTATAATTTTAAGCTGTATAATAATTTTTTGATACTAAATTTTCTATTGATAAATTAAGGCTTCCCTTATTAATATTGTGATGTAATTATATTCGTTTACTATTTTAATATATAAAATATTAATTAAAATTAATAAAAGTAATACCAACAATTGACAAATAAAGTCAAAATTGGTAATTATAGATTCTTTTTCTTTCTTAAAAAACTAGCAAAAAAAAGTATTATACATTTTGAATTTTGTAATTTAAATTATTAAGAAAAATGATTTATGGATAATTTTTTTTACTATTTGTTAATATAACTTTTTATATCAGTTAAATGAATAACTTTTTTATTTATTTGAAATATGTGATATTAAGTACATTCATTTATTAAATGATATGTGAAAATTATATAAAAAGATTGTATAAAAAAATTATTGCTATTTAGTTATCTAATTATTAAATGGAAGAGACCTCTAATATTAAAAACTTTTTCTTATCTAATGAATTTTATTTTACAGTGAAATTTATTTGTAAGCTAATATTGTCTTTTTATATCTAGTTCCACGGTTCAATTCTTAAATCAACATAAAATAAAATTAATTTTTTTAAATATATCAAGTTAATATAAGAGTGCATCTTTAAAATTAGCTAAAAGAAAAATAATATTAAAATACACAAAAACTAATCCAAAATACCCTTACCAAAGTACAAAAAAAAAAAAGTTAGAATAGTTCTTACTTCAACAACTACAAAAATTTCTCTTAACAACACTCCTCAATGGTTTACTTTTTAAATTTTTAAATTTTTTATTATTTTAAAAATATATAAAATATTAATTAAAATAAAAAAATAATATATTATATATTAAAAATATTAAAAAAAAATAAAAAACCTATAACTGCGGTTATACATCAGCATTATCCAACTAGGCAAAAGTAAGATTCTACGTAGATTTCCTTTTTGAAAATAAAACCAGATGTTCGGGCTTCAGTTCCTGGTTATAAATGGGCCTTTTCTACTGGACCAATCCACCCACGCGGCCAAGGTTGGACACCATTTAAAGCACGTGATTGAATTTGAGATCCACGGCTAATAAAAAAAAAAAAAGGGAGGAGACGGGCTATGTAGGTCTGTCACAGCTACATACATTATATGCTCACTTTACCTCACCGAAATTTCCCTCCCAAATCACAAATTCTGAGATCTGCTTTTCTTCTCCATCAACTCCTTCCTTCCTCCTCCCTAAATCCTGAATTTTACTTCCTTCATCTTCTCCGGTGAGGTTCTGCATCTTCCTCGTATCTTTTCCGGTCAAATCTTGAGTTTCCGGTTACTGAAACTTCCGGACCTTAATTGCCCTATCGTTTCCTTTTTGCTCAACAGTCAACACATACTCGCTCCTTACTGCTCCGTTCGCGTTCCTCAGCGCACGAAACACCATGAAAATCTCGTTCAACTCATTACCAGGTAACTTCGTCTTCTTCCTCAAATTCTTGGTTCGTTATAATTTTTTTATATTATTTTATTCCTAGCCTGTATTTTTTTTTTAATATATTATTCCAGAAGCTCGCATGTTTATTTTCTATGCAGGGAAACTATCTTGGGATGAATTCGATGAAACTCATTTCGGAGTTGTAAGTTCTTGATCTAAGTGTTGTAGCATTTGGCTTGACCAGATCTTGCATTTAGATACTGACTTCCCTTATTTTTTTTGCAGGCAATTAGAGTTTAATAAGCGACGTGGTTAAGTTATTCGAGACCATGCCTGCCACAAAGAAGGTTTCTCTAACTTTACTTGCTTTTCTGTGGGTCATATCTAATTGGTTACAATAGTACATATTGTGGGTTCTCCATTCTGTTCAGTTATGGGTTAACATATACTCTAAAAACTGGTTCATTGTTTGGGATGGAATTATTCTGTTAATGAATGAAAACAAGTAAAGAAATCATTTACAATCACCATATGGCCTTGGTAATTCTAGTAATTGTCAGTTTTTCTTCTTTATCAGAGTTTGGATTGCAGTCGGATTGCTCAAGCATTCAACAAGTTGTCGAAGCAAATTGGAAATCCAGTTGACTTCGAACTACCTGATTGGTTTGATAAATGGAAGACTACACCTTACACCTATATAAAGCGCAGTATCCACTTCAAATTAGTTTTAACTCTTTTCCTTGTCCACAATTCATGTTTGAATTTCATTGCTGGAATCATATAACTATTTGTCGAAACTTCACAGAAATTAAGTCAGTCTTTAATCTTTGTCTTGTGCTTTCATCTTCTTTATCTGCCTCAGTGTATTTTTCTTATATTTTGAAGCGTTTGAGTCTCCATCCTTGTCTATCCATCTGTTTTTCTTTGTTTACCCATTATGGTTTTGGCTTTGTTTGTATTCACAAATTTAAGACATATATCTTACAAAGAAGATTAAAAGGCGCCTTGAAGATGATGGTATTTTTTGTTCCTGCACCCCATCACCTGGTTCTACTGCAGTGTGTGGTGGTAGAGATTGCCATTGTGGGTAAGATTTCTCTTAATTGATCACTATTGCTTAAATTATGCATGATTAATCTAGGATTAGTTGCAACCATTTTTATCTAGGCATGTGGTACTTTGATTGGTTAGAAATTTATTACTAAGTTTGATTTATGGCTTTTCTTGGTCTGTTTGCTTTGGACTCTTTTGAATGATTCCATTGGTGTTGTCTCGCAGGATGCTACTATCTAGCTGCTCCTCAGGCTGCAAATGTGGGAGTTCATGCCTCAATAAGCCATTCCAAAACCGACCTGTGAAGAAGTTGAAATTAGTACAGGTACATGTTTCTGAGTTTTTGTGGATTTTCTTAATTATGATAATATGATTTGTTTATTACCATGTTATATTCAAGGAAGTGGGTTTCTTTTACTTTACAGTAGGTAATGATTAGTTGCAACTTGAGAAGAATTGAGAGATGCCTTCTAAATAATAAGCTATTTTAGTTTATAATACTATGCAAGGTTCTTGAATGCAAAAGCACTTTTTAATAAGAAAAATTAACTGAAAACTAATTTATATTCCTTGAGTGTTATCCTGCTTACCCTGATTTTTTTTTTTTTTTTTTTGTTCTGAAACTAGAAAATCTTTGTGTTTTTGAATTTTCTTATTTTTCTTTTGTCAGTCCCATTTCCCATTTCTTGTTTTCAAGTGCTAAGGATTTGCATTATGTTAGGCTTTCAACATTTTATGATTGTTAGTTGTATTTCACTCAAAATGTGAAGTTAAATAAGGTCCTGCTTGTAGACAGAGAAATGTGGAGCAGGAATTGTGACAGGTGAAAATATCAAGCGAGGAGAGTTCGTAATAGAATACGTGGGGGAAGGTCTGGTCCTATTCATGAAATCATTAACCTTGTTCTCATAGAATTACATCTTTTTTGGATTACTTATTTCCATCTGTTTTCTTTCTTTCATGTATTGTTTCTTTTTTTCTTTCAATGCAGTTATTGATGATAAAACGTGTGAGGAAAGGCTTTGGAACATGAAACACCGGGGAGAAACCAATTTTTACTTGTGTGAAATAAACCGTGATATGGTTATTGATGCAACATACAAGGGGAATAAGTCAAGATATATAAACCATAGTTGCTGCCCAAATACTGAGATGCAGAAATGGTTATCTTATGACCCTTATAGCTGATCTTATATTTATATTGAATTACATGTTGATCTCACATGTCTATATTTGTTTTTATCTTCCTTTAGGATAATAGATGGTGAAACAAGAATAGGCATTTTTGCAAAACGAGACATAAAAAAGGGCGAGCATCTCACCTATGACTATCAGTATGTGCACTTGCATCACTACCCAACTTCTATTTTCATAAATTTCACTAGTAGCCCATTCTAATTATATTAGTAGTATGGCATGCATGATATTTCCATTGTATCTTCTGCATAAGGGACTTCACAAGCTTGATCCCACTTTCCTTGTGATTTGTATTTCCTTTCAGGTTCTGAATATTCAGCTAACAAATTTAGCAGGTTTGTTCAATTTGGTGCAGATCAGGATTGCCACTGTGGTGCAGCTGGCTGCAGGGGAAAGCTGGGGGTCAAGCCTGGTAAGCCAAAAATGTCATCAGATGCACTAAAGCTAGTAGCATGCCAGGTGACGGCATCCTCTCCCAAATTGAAGGCTATTTTATCTGGAAAAGAGGTATGTGGTGAAAGGTTGCTTGATGCTATCAAGATATGATGCCTTCTCTCATTTTCTGCTTATCAATTAATTCTATCTTTTCCTGGGCTGTTTTGGTTGTGGACATATGTAGTAACATAAGAATACCAGGTTAAGATTTTCTTAAATATATGTAGGTATAGTATGTAAATTATGGAAGAATAGAGTATTGCCTTTGCTTTGTTGAAATTGAGAGGGGCTGTTATGCTTTTTCTAGTTCCCTTCTATGATTAGGACGTTTGTTGGTCTGATCACCCAATGTAGTGTTGTAATTAGTTCAATACTGCTGATGAAACTAAATTAAAACTTAGAACTGTTACTCTATGCCCATTGATGCCTATGGTCTTTACAGATTTGGAATTTATAGATGTCAGAAAAAGTCAAACTAATAATCGGATTACTATTTGTTTAGGTCTATCAAAATGGAGTTTTGCAAGTTGGTAAGAAAATTACCTTTCTTTCTGCTATTACATGTTAGTTTCTTTGACTTAGTGAATTAAATATTCAAGATTCATCTCCTACAGGAAGATCAAATCAGGCTGATAATCGACAGCAGATATGCCCTCGTCGTTGCATTGGTGAAGTGGTCAGAATATCTCGTCCTATGAATGAGAGGTATTTCTAGTTTTTATCTTTCCCACTGTAGGACTTTGTCTTTTTTATAAAACTTTTATGTCAGTGTTAGAAACTAATCAATGTTTGGTTTAGTCATTGAAAGTATTCTTACATTGGCTAAAAGTCTTGAAAATTGCTTCTTATAGTGGAGTCCTCTTTCTTTTAAGCTTGTTGAGTGAACATTCTGTTAAGTACTATTATATTCTGTTAAGTGCTATTATTAATTTTCTTTTAAATTCATTTCACCCTGACACATGTTTCAGATGTTTTGGGACCATTAAACACTTTGATGTGAATTCCAGAAGACACTCGGTAAGAGTTTCTTTGATTTGGTTTCTTTAGATAAAATGAGTATACATGTATATACAAATGCATCATTGTCATTGCAGATCCTGTTTGAAGATGGTGTAACGGAAGTTATTGACATGTCAAAAGAAGAATGGGAACTCATAACTTTGTGATGTTATAACTGGGTAAGTACAAATAACTTACTGAGACTTCCACTGTCTCTAGCAGAATGTCTGTGTTTCAACTGATTGTATCAGTAATTCACTAGGCTTGATAAAATTAATAACAGCAAATAAGGGGAAGCTTAACTATGTATTAGTAAGATTTGATCATTCTGGAATTAGGATAAAGTTTTCTTCTCTAAAATGTCTTACTGAACTTTTGCTGATAGACTCCTATCTGGTGAATGATATGTACCAAAACACTGATCCTTGCATCATTTCTCTCCTCTCTCTCTCTGTAATAAATTTTACTCAGACGAGATATGCTTAATAGTTAGCTCTCCCTTTTTGTCTTGCAGGTACCTCTAACTGAAGTTGATAGGACTTGATTAGGCGTAACCAGCAAAAAGAAACAAAAGGATACTCTTGGCTGGAACGTAAATCAGAGTCCGCCCCTTTTGCTGGGGATTTGCCAGCATGTTGTTGCATTAAAAATAAAACATTCTCGAATGCCCTCGGCTTCTCACACAAACGTCTTCCCTCTTCCTTGCATGGCGTTTGAAAGTATGTTGTTGTATGAAATATATTCTGTGTTGTCTTTCTTGATTCTTTTCTTGGGACAATAAAAGCACAGTCTGAACATACTCATTCACCGTGTTGTATTGTACGATCAGGGAAAACTGTAGGCTAGGTATTCACCCATGACAGGAAATTTTAGCTGATGCCAGATATATTAAACCATGACAGCCAGTTTTGGCCTTCGAGATGACCATGCCAAGGGCCATATGTTGACTGTCGCAAGCATGGCTTGAGTATGCTTGCTCTTAATTCTTTTCTTTCTTTTCTATTGATCTTTACATCTTGTTTGCCTTCATGTCCCAATGGTTGCTTGGACATGTTAAGTTGGTTGGATTTAGACG